CGAGGCGGCTGGGGAGCGTTCCTGGCACCTCCCCTTGTTTTCCGAATGATTAACGGTCCTCCGTCCGCGTCCCTGAAACTCGGTGTGCGAGCTTGTTTGGGGCCTGACACCGCCTTTACCTGTCTCCATGCCCTGTCGGCTCCATGTTCAGTGGCCCGTAGTTATTAAAATTCCTCCTGACACAGGAGTTGCTGGCCAGAATTCCAGTTTTTGGACGCCCTCGTTTTCTCTCCGAGCCGCACCGTATCGGCTGCGGCTAGGTTCGTGTGCTCTGTCTGAAGTCGGCTTGAAGGCAGCTGATGGCCTCGCATTTCTGTTTTTCATATTCGCCCCTTAGCTGTGCTCAGGTAATAGTCATTAGCATGTCTCAGCGGGGATTTGCAAAGGTGGTTAAGAATGCACTTCAGTTCAAGGGGTGTTGCTGGTCATCCGTGGTGGAGCAGGCCCTGGCAGTGGCCATGCAGGTAATTGAGACATTTATCATCATGTAAAGGGTGGCGTCGGAACGGTTCTGCAGTCGGAAGGAAAAGAAAGGGGCAGGTGTGGAGGGAGAGACGGGTTGCTCCCACCAACTTACGGCGCAGCCCAAGAAATGCCGCCTCGCATTCCTGTGTCTCCATTTTATAAACCCCTCTGTTCTGTTCTCACGCCTGAAAAAACCTCACACTTAAAGAACGCACCACATCGAAAGGACTGCAGCCTTTTAAAATTGCGGAATAAAATACCGAGGGCACGGTTTGACTGGATTGGAGCATCTTTAGCTCGTTTCAGTGGAACACTGCAGAGTGAGGGTTGGTGTGAGAGCCAGGGGAGTGTAATGGGACGGGGACTCGGGAGACCCGGGTTTAGTCCCCGCTTGGCCATGGAGCCCACTGGGTGACTTTGGACCAGTCATAGCCTACCCCACAGTGTCGACATTGTGGGGATAAGATTGCGAGCAGGAGAAGGAGAATGAAGTAAGCCGCTCTGAGTGCTTTCTAAGAAAAAAGGTGGGGTATAAATCTAATAAATAAATAAGGGCTTCGTTCTTTTCTGCCGAAAGCCAGGGAGTTCTTTGACGTTGCATCGGGACAGCCCACAATGAGGAGATGAAGAAAAGCTAAACAAAATACAGCAGCTGCTCTGTTTGGAGAGGGGAGAGTCACAGCAGCAGATTCCTAGAAAATGGTTTTCGCCTGTCAAATGAGGCACTAGCTAGACAGGTTTCCCTGAGGCAGGGAGTTCCAAAGCTTCAGTCCCACAGCAGGAAAGACCCTGCCCTACATCCCAGCTAATTTCAGTCCCGAGGAGAAGGGAACATGGGCCTGGTCTCCCGCTTCTGCTCTGTGGGGTGGAGGACTGTGGGAAGAGGCCTTTCAGAAGGACCAGGCTGTTAACCCTTTAAAGGCTGTTGACCTTGGATTGACTTGGTCTTGGGAGCCAGGACCAGCACTGGTGGGTTCTCTGTGGCCCTTCCTTGTGCAGTTAGCTGGGGCGCACCTTTAGACTTCATAATGTTTCACTGAGACTTCTGGCACCTCAAATAAATATTTGGTTGTTGTGCAGAAAGCAAGGCCCTTACAAACCCAGCTTGATTCCAAGCCAGCTATCACCTGGTCCAGAGTTCCCAGCCCAGTGGCTTTGATCTCCCTTACCAACAACACTTTCTCTGTGAATTTCATGTTACGTCCGGAATAACTCAGACATTTCCAGTTACATTCTTCTCCACCCATCTGACACATAGGGATGTTCAAACATGCTGCACACAACCTTGCTGGGGCTCTCCAGATTCTTCCTCAAAGCTCATTTTGCCTCGTTTGCACTTACGATTATGAGCATCTTTTCTTCTGACTGGGGAAAACATGCATTTTTAAAAGGGCACATTCTTCCCAGTTGAAAAAAAATACGCCTTTTTAAAAATGTACTGTTTCTCCCAGTCCAGAATATGCACCCCCCCGCCTCCCCCCCGGTAAGGTGAAGGTACGAAAGAGCAGATTCAAGAGCAATACGCCTGCATGTGCACGTTCAAGTTCTGTGACAAGGTTTGGAGGTGGCTAGGCGGAGGGGATGCAGTGGATGATGGTTTACCTGGATTTCAGCAAGGCCTTTGACAAAGTGCCCCATGATGTCCCTGGTGGAGAAACTGAGGAGTTTTGGGATACACCAAAGCACTGTCCAGTGGATTAGGGCAGGGGTGACTGACCTAAATCAGAGGGTAGCCATTAGTGGGGAATCATCGGGATGGCGGCCTGGGACAAGTGGGGTCCCCCAGGGCTCTGTCCTGGGGCCGATCCCATTTAATCTTCTCATTAATGACATGGAAGAAGGGGTGAACAGTCTGCTGATCAAATTCGCAGATGACACTAAAACTGGAGCAGTGGCCACAACTGAGGAGCAGGTACTTCAGATCCAAAAGGATCTGGACAGATTGTGGAAGTGGGCAGGAGACAACAGGATGGCCTTCAATGTGGATAAGTGCAAGGTCTTGCACTTGGGGCATAGGAATGGGTGTCATAAATACAGGTTAGGGGGCAAGTGGCTGGAGAGCAGCACTTGTGAAAGGGACCTCGGGGTGCTGGTTGACTGCAGGCTGAACATGAGCCAGCCGTGCGATGCGGTGGCCAAGAGGGCGAACGCCACCCTTGGGTGCATAGCCAGAAATGTGGCTTCTAGATCAAGAGAGGTGTTCCTACCACTCTATACGACTCTGGTGCGCCCACAACTGGAGTATTGTGCTCAGTTTTGGGCCCCTCATTACAGGAAGGATATAGCCAGATTGGAGTCAGTGCAGCGTAGGGCCACAAGGTTGGTGGCCGGTTTGCAGGGGAAGCCATATGAGGCGAGACTGAGGGAACTGGGTCCCTTCAGCCTGGAGGAGACTCCAAGGGGATCTGTTGGCGACATACAGATATGTGAGGGGGTGTCCCACGGAGGTGGGTAGAGACCTGTTCTCCCCTGCAGAGGAAGGCAGGATGCGCTCCAATGGAGCAAAGCTCAGGGAGCCAGGGTTCCATTTAGATGCCAGGAAGCACTTCCTGACAGTCAGGACCCCAAGGGTGTGGAATGGGCTTCCCCGGGAGGCGGTTGAGGCCCCATCGGTGCGGGTGTTCAAGGATAGGGTGGACATGCACATGGTGGGCACGTCGTGAGCGGAGCCGGCTGGAGCCGGGGGTCAGACTAGATGGCCCAGGAGACCCCTTCTGACTCGCTCTGTTTCTCTGTTTCTAAGTGCAAGTTCAGGAAACTGGAAATTTCTCAAGATTTGCACCCCTGCTTGTGTACAAACAAGCAATGGTCACATGAACTGGGGAGACCAGCAAAAGTTTACCTCTCTAGGGGTATGGCCTTTGTCCATAGAATCATGGAACAGCAGCACTGGATGGGGCCAGAGGGCCATCGGATCCAACCCCCTGCCCTTGCAGGACACTAAGTTACACCATCCCACTCAGGTGGCTGTCCAGGGGCTTTTTCAATGTCTCCAGTGAGGCGGAGCCCACAGCTTCCCCAGGTAATCGATTCCATTGTCCTACTGCTCTGACAATGAGGAAATGCTTCCTGGTTGCCAGTCTAAATCTGGTTTCTTTTAACTTAAGAAACATGCCATGTAGGCATTGGTGGATTGGTTGGTTGGTTTTATCTGTATCCCACCTTTTTTCCCTTCTAAGAAACTCAAAGCAGTTTCCATGATTCTCCTCCTGCTGCTTCCAAACTTACCTCCACAACAACCCTGTGAGGTCGGCTGAGCTGAGAGTCTGTGACTGGCCCATAGTCACCCTGTTGGCTCCATGGCCAAGCGGGGACTCGAACCTGGATCGCCTGAGTCCCAGTCCCAGGCTCTCAACCACTCCCCCACTCTGGCATGGATGCTTGTATGGTCTTTGAAGTGGACTTGACATGCTTGAATGGCTGCCTGGTGCTGGACGGGAGAGCCAGTTCAGAGAAGGTGCACCGTCCGCAAGGCCCAGGCGAGCCCCTCACTCCCTGCCCGATGACCAAGGAAGCCAGCGTGGCCGAATGGTGCGGTGCTCCCCAGGCCACGCCGTGCTGAGAACACCTTGCGAGCTTAGCAAGAATGCAGCCCCTGCTCTTCTGTCACATGTGGTGTTCTTCTAATTTGGGGGGCATGCAGGAGCATTGAACGAAGCTGCTAATTCATGTCCCATGACACACCTGCCCCAGAGTCCCTTCCTGTGGCCCACCACGTAGGAACTCCTCCACTGGGCCCTTCTTCCAAGGTGATCTTGCCTGATTAACTGCGCATCCAGAAAGCACCTTCTGGAGAGACCTCCACTCCAAAGACCAAGTCCAGCCACACAAAAATAACTTTGCACTCGAGATTCCATTAGTGTTTCTTGGAGCACTTAAAAATCTCTGGGTAGATTCGCCCTAGGAATTCCTCCCTCTCTCCCCCCTCTCCAACTCCTGCTTTGCACTTCCTCCCGTTTGTCCCAAATTTTCCCCGTGAAATAAAAGGCTACCTAAGTTGTGACTCACGGAGCCAAAGGCAGCCGTGTGCTGTGGCCTGTCGGATCTCCTTTTGGGTTCCCAGACAGGCAGAGGTGCCCCAGATGACCAGCCAAAGAATGACACGTTCTCCGGGTAGGAAGAGCAAATTCCAGCCTCGTCCCAAGGACTGTGCAATTGGGCAGCCATCCAATTGAGCATAGGAGCTGAAACGGCACCTGCACAGACCGTTTCTTAAAATCCTGTGGCCGGTTTTGTCGTTCTTCTCATGCATCAGGAATGCTGAAGGAGGGGAGAGGGCAGCGGGAGGTAGGCCTGAAAGGTGCAGTGTGTGTGTGTCAACTGAAGTCCACACAGGTCCCATGGAAGCCCACTCTGTGGCGCCACTGTAGGGGGGGCACAGAGCAGGAGGCCTCTCAGACCCCCGGGGCTCCCGCACGTGGCCAGTTGCGACTTGAGCAAGGCCATCCTGTTTCAGGAGACAGAACAAGAGCACAGACTTCCTGGAACCGTGTGTTCCATTCGCCGGCCTCATCTCTCCCTCTGTCCCTCCCCAGGTCGCTGCTGCTGCTGCTGGCACAGATTCTTCAGAGGAAGGCCCCAGAGAGGAGAGCGATCCTCCAGATTCCGTGAACCTGAGCAACACCGTGACCAGCACCCTCTCCGTGCAGGAGTATTTTGCCAGGCGCATGGCAAAACTGAAGAAAGCCCAGCTCGGGCTCAGCGGCACATCAGCAGACTCGCCTCCGACGAAGGCGGAAAGTCCAGAGCGCTCGGGGCCCCAGTCCAAGAAGAAGAAGCGCAGACTTGAGAGGGAGGGTGGCATCCCAGGGAGCAGAGACGAGGCCTCAGGCAGAGAAGATGCGGATGAGCCCGACGCACCGAAGAAGGGGAGGAGGAGGAGAAAGGCTGAGCAGCCAGGCGATGGAGGGCCACCTCTTTGCAACGGCTCTCCAGATGGCACTCAAGAGAACAGATCCTGCTTCCCTGGAACAGCCGAGGAGGGAAAGGGCGACCCAGAGGAGCCGAGGCCAAAGAAGAAGAACAAGAGGAAGCACAAGAACGTGGACTGGGATGCGGCTGAGGAGCTCAAAAGCACGAAGCCAAAGAAGCAGAAGCTCTCCAGTTAATGCGAGGTCCGGGACTGTCCGTTTGAACCGTGGACCTTTTGCTGTGTTAGGCGGGTGCCCTCATGTCCCCAGATTCAGCCAAGCCATTGTCCGAAAGACCCTCAGGCCTTTTTGCTGTACCTTCCCCGCCCTGGAAGGGGGGGGCTCTTTGCCGCCCGAAGAGGGGGCAGTTGGGGTGGGGGCGATCCTGCCCACCGCATCTTGCTCTGTGCTGTGCTCGATGGATCGCTTCAGCATCGAAGCCGCCGCTCGCTTGGGCCCTTTGTGGCGGAGCAGGCTGTCCGTCCGTGCCGGAGGAGAACATGCGCCCACGTGTGCTTGGAAGAGCGGCGGGCAAGATGCGTGGGGGCCTCCTCGGCGGCTGGCGTGGCAAACGCCGACTGCAGGCTTGCCCCCCGGGGGCCCCCACCTCCTCCCTGGAGGGCCTACGCACCCTTGGCGCAGGCAAGCGGGGCCCTCTGAGCAGCATTGCAGTGGCTGGTTCTAGAGGGCTTTTAAACTTCCCAGCATGCTTTGGAAGGGGGGCCACAGATGGCATCAGCCGTGCAAGGGCATCGGATGTTTATGCCAACCCTGGGATGCGCCTAGAGCAGCCTTCTCCAACGTGGTGCCCTCCAGATGCACTGGGCTCCCATTCTCAGCATCCCCCAGCTGGTTCAGCATGCTGGGATTTGTAGTCGGGTGCATCTACAGGACACTAGGTTGTGAAAGGCCAACTCTTAGGTCTAAACACCACCAGCTCAAGACCACATTGGATGCCGGCGTGTTTCATTCCAGCGACTCTCAGTCTTCCGGCAGCCCTTTTTGCTTATTATGAAACACGTGGATTTTTAGTATCCTCTTGAGCTGGCATAAATGCTTGTGGTGATGCTAACAGTCCACACACTAGCTTGTGGGGGGGGGGGGAGCCAGCCTGGACAAAGCCCCCCAGGCCTTGTGAGGGCCTCAGTAGCCCCAAATAAATAGCACAGCAAGGATGGGGTGCGGGGGGAGCAGAAGGGGTCGTGTGCCTGCCAGTTTGTGGTTTGCAGTCTCCGCATTCCTTGGACTTTGTGGCCACTCTTCAAAAGAAGATGGCGGCACAGAGGGTAGGTCCGCCATTGCTCTTGGCGAAATGGTGGATCGCTGCCCGTTAACACATGAATCAAAAGACGCCCTTCAACTTCACCGGTTTGCGAGCGGCTGTTCCTGGGCCTACGTGGCTTTCATTCCCCCTTCCAGCCTTTTGAAGAATGAAATAAAACTTGGGAACAGAAGTCTTACTAAATGGAATCGGTGTGTGTGTGTGTTTTTCACCCACTCACCCCCTCCCTCTACACTTTGATCTCTCCTTGGTAGTATCTGCGAAGTATAACACGCAAAGCGTAATTATTTTAACAAAGGAGGACTCCAATCTCAGTGGAAAATCAGCTGCCAGATCAAGAAAGTAAACAAACCGAGTAGGAATAGGTGTGTAATAACTCCATTGCTGGTTTGGAAAAGATCGGATCAGCTTACTTGTAATCCCTGCGCACCCGGGGGTACAGTACGCACCCCTGCTTGATCCTTGAACTGTTGGAATGTTTTCCTGCCACCGCAATCCATGCCCCCCACCCCCAGTTGATGGCACATTACCTTCTCTCCAGAAGCCAAAATACACATTTGCTGAGTCCCGTCCTACACACCTGGGATCTCCACAATTCCCAGTGAACTAAAAGCCACGAGGAAATTCCTCCTAAAGTCAACCCAAAACTATGTCTGCCCCACCCCGTCCCACCCCTCCAGGTTATAATTTTGCCAGGAGCGGGGAAGACAGCAGAAGGAAATGAAAACGGGATGCGGTTCTTGTCAAGGACCAACACAAGCACTTGTGCACAGGTTTATGGTGAGCTTTCCCTGAGTGTCCCGGGCAGCCCCTTCCCAGAACAGACCCGTTTTTTCAGCAATCATTCAAGTGACTGTAGCAAGTGCAAAATGCATTTTCTTGTCTGTGCCACTCTCTGGAAAGAGCAGACATACGCTTGTGTGTTCAAATCAGGAGGGGTGCGATCCCAGGCCAGTTTAGACAGAAAAAAGGCCTACAACTCACACCGTTCCTTATTGCCACCCCAAGCTAGCATTGCGACCTCAGATGTCCAGATAGCTGAATAGCTGCAGATTGCCTCTTTCTTCTCCCAGTCTCCCGGATATCATCTTGCGCTGCTTTGACAGAAACTCGGTGCATAAATGGATCCGACAAGCAAACGCAAAGCGTCATTACACTGTGGCCCTCTGCCCAGCCTTCTCCAGCCTGCTGCCCCCAGATTGGTAGGACTACAACCTCCATTTTCCCCCAGGCAGTATGACCATGCTGGTGCAAGGTGAGGAGAGTTCTCGACCAACACACCTGGAACATGCCTGTTTGGGAACAGCTGGTCTCCATTTAAGAACATCAGAAGTGCTTTGAAGCACTTGGATCAAACCAGGGAGCCGTTTGGCTGAAATGGTGGCTGGAGAGTTGCCCACAGGAAATCCGAAACTCGGCACGGGTGCAGTGGGACCCTCCAACCCATGCTTGTTTCTGATATCCTGCTTTCTTTTCCTTCCAAGGAAGTCAAGGCAGACTATGTTAGTCTCTCAATCAGTGTGACTGGTCTGAAGTCACCCACAGGCCAAGCTGGGGACTGGAACCCAGACTACATGAATCACAGTCCCACACTGGTCACCGCCACCAGCATCCTGCCTCCGATACTGGGAGGCAGCACAAAACCATCCAGGCCAGCAGCACGGGGAGCCGTGAATTTGCTAGAAGACTTGGTGATGCTCTCGCTGCAGCCAGACTTCACTTCTCCGGAAGGAGTTGAATATACAGCAACGTAACGACTTAATAGTGCTACCAGCAATTGAGTCTCAATTAGATGAGTTGATTGATTAAAGAGGCACAGGACTAAAGACTTATTCTGGACTGGAGGAAACTGTGTTTTCCACCACTGTTCACATATGTTGTACTAAAGTTGCCTTTGAAGAGGGCATCGCACCCAGAAAGAAGTGCCTTTTTAAGACAGTGCTTGCATCTTATGGTTACTACATATACACAAATTAACTTTTATAAAACTGTGCTGCCCAGTTAAGCACAGCATCCATTAAACGGTTCAGAAGTTTTCGTTTTGAATCAATGGACCTAATGAGAGAATTAATTTAAAGCTATATTCCTATGCCTGCTGTCCTGGGACTAAACTAAGCCAAATCCTGGAAAACTTGAGAGCAAACATGCATAGGATTGTGTTTTAAATGTTGTGTCTCTGGTGTATTTGGTTTAAATGGAAGGCATCCAAAAAGAGGAGGAGGGAAATGGTATTTTGCACATATACAGGGCTTAATGTTAAAAATAAACACTAGAAGGTCAGTTGTTAGAGTTCATTGAGTTGAATGAAAGAAATGTTCATATTTCTAAAATACCATCCTTTTGAAATACTTTGCTAAGTGTAAGACCACTGCACCGTTACATACAGAGTCACCCCTAATTCAGGGAGAAAACCGCTCAGATTCGTCACGAGCTAGACTCTACTAGTGATTCAGAGGCTTCTGGGGAGATACCAATGTCGCCGTCTGGTCCAAAATTAATGGATGAATTTCAGTTATTGCGGCCTGATGATGTGGACAAGGTGCTTGGACGAGTACATCCCACCACTTGCCTATTGGACCCTTGCCCGTCTTGGTTAATAATGCCAAGCACGGAATTGGGATCTGGATCTTGGAAGTGGTTAACGCTTCTCTGAGGGAGGGTCGGGTGCCTGCCCCTTTAAAGGAGGTGGTAGTCCGACCGGTCCTGAAGAAAGCGTCACTGGATCCAGAGATGGCCGCCAATTATAGACCGGTGGCCAACATCCTGTTTCTGGGCAAGGTGTTAGAGCGGGTGGTGGCGGGACAACTCCAAGCTCTCTTGGATGAAACTGATTATCTGGACCCATTTCAGTCCGGCTTCAGACCCGGGTACGGTACTGAATCTGCCTTGGTCGCCCTGTATGATGACCTGTGCAGGGAGAAGGACAGGGGGAGTGCATCCCTGTTGGTTCTTCTGGACCTCTCAGCGGCTTTCGATACCATCGACCATGGTATCCTTCTGGATAGGCTAGCGGGATTGGGGGTCGGAGGCACTGCTTTGCAGAGGTTCCACTCCTATCTCAACGGCCGATTCCAGAACATGGTGCTGGGGGACTATGGCTCTGCGCCATGGCAGCTATGCCATGGAGTACCACAGGGGTCCATTCTGTCCCCCTGGCTGTTTAATGTCTACATGAAACCGCTGGGAGAGGTCAACAGGAGGTGTGGGCTGCGGAATCATCAGTATGCTGATGATACCCAGCTCTACCTCTCGTTTTCCACCAATCCAGGTGAGGCAGTGGCTGTGCTGAACCGGTGCCTGGCCGAGGTAATGGGCTGGATGAGGGCCAATAAACTGAAGCTCAATCCAGACAAGACAGAGGTCCTGTTGGTTGGCAGATCGGGCTTTGGGGAAGGTGAATTGAACCTAGTCCTGAATGGGGTTGCACTCCCTCTTAGGGACAAGGTCTGCAGCCTGGGAGTGCTCCTCGACCCAGAGCTTTCACTGGAAGCTCAGGTGACAGCGGTGGCGAGGAGCGCTTTCTTTCAGCTTCGGCTGATTCATCAGCTGCGTCCCTACCTGGAGTACGACTGCCTTGCAACAGTGACTCATGCGCTGGTGACTTCCCGTCTTGACTTCTGTAACGCGCTCTACTTGGGGCTACCCCTGAAGACGGTCCGGATACTTCAATTGGTTCAAAATAGAGCTGCCAGGCTGCTGACGGGGACGGGGCGTTATGTTCACATGACTCCAGTCCTCCGTCAGCTTCACTGGCTCCCCACTGAAGTCCGGGCCCAATTCAAGGTGTTGGTGATGACCTATAAAGCCCTAAACAGCTTGGGTCCTGGTTACCTGAAGGAGAGCTTATGTCCATATATGCTCGCCTGCCCCCTGAGATCTGCGGGAGAGGCCCTTCTCCGGGAACCCTCCGTGAAGGAAATTAGGAGGGTGAGTACTTGGAGGAGGGCCTTCTCTGTGGTGGCGCCCCATCTATGGAATGCGCTCCCCAGAGAGGTCCGCCTGGCGCCGTCGTTATTTGTTTTTCGGCGCCAGGCAAAGACCTTTTTATTCAAATGTCATTTTAATTGTTAATAGTATTTATTCATTTTATTCTTTGGCCAGGGCGACTTAATTTATACTGTTAATTTATATTATTTTAAGGAAGTTCATTTATGTTTGTGAGCTGCCCCGAGGCTTCGGCGAATGGGGCGGCATAGAAGTTTCCTAAATAAATAAATAATAATTGTTTCGAAGAATGGCTTACCGTCAATATTTTCTTATTCTGAATCAGAAGAACACCAGAAGGACCAGTGGCCAGAAGAAGCAAATCTTATCAAAATCTAATAAGCTTGGCCCATTATTTAATCAACGCAACTTGAATTGATTAATTTACTGATGTCACTGAGGAGAGGTTGGAGCTCCACTAAATACCAGCCCCATGACTCCCTGCAACCCTTCGTGTGCCCTCAGGCCATCTCCAGTTTCTGGCCACCCTTGAAATGAGTCTTCCCAACATCCTGGCCTTCACAGCCCTGCTCAGCCTTCGTAAGTCCAAGGTAGCAGCTCCCATGATGGAGTCAACAGCTCTCTTATTTGGTCTTCTGCCTTCGACTTTCCCTGGCATGGTGGGCTTCCAAAACTGCATCTTGCCTTCTCACGGTGTGCCAAAAGTTGGACAGCCTCAGTTTTGGCCTTTTGGCTTCCAGGGAAAGTTCTGGCTTAATTTGATCTGGGACTAACTTGTTTGTCTTTCTGGCCGTCCAAGGTATCTGTTTGCAAAGCAATCCTCCAGCACCATGTTTCAAATGCATCAATTGTAGGCTACGTACAGAGTAAATTCTGAGGTGATAGCAAGGAGGAGTTAAGAGCAGCTCTGGAGTGAGGCTGCCTCAGATAACCCTGGGGAAAGAAGACTGGCTTCTCCCAGGTTTACTCCTCAAAATTCTCCATGAATTTATTTATTTAGGGAGCTTCTATGCCGCCCCATTCGCCGAAGCCTCGGGGCGGCTCACAATCATAAATAAATAACAAATATAAAACAATATAATTTAACAGTATAAATTAAGTCGCCCTGGCCAAAGAATAAAATAAATAAATAACATTAACAATTAAAATACGTTTGACTAAAAAGGTCTTTGCCTGGCGCCGAAAAACAAATAACTTTAAATAATTTAAATAATTTGTCTTTTAAATTTGACCTTTGAAGCTTGCCAGAGTTGATGGCCATCCTCATAACTTCTAGCATTCATCTGGCCCTCTTTGGATGTAAAATGTTTTCTCTCCTGCACCTTCCTGGTGGTTCAGGGTGCCAGCAGCTGTTTTTAAGCATATTTATTTATGTATTTATTTTTCAATTTATATCCTGCCTTTTTCCTCAAAGGGCTCAAGGCAGCTTACATCAATCTCCTCCTGCATCTTATCCCCACAACAACGACCCTGTGAGGTAGGTTGGGCTGAGAATCTGTGACTGGCCAAAAGTCACCCAGTTGGCTCCATGGCCGAGCAGGGACTAGAAGCCAGATGATCTGAGTCCCAGTCCCGTGCTCTTAACCGCTATGCAACACTGCCTCTCACCACTCTGAATATAGTGCCAAGGCTCCACTTACAGTGCAAACCTCAGAAGAAAGACCACTGAATCTGTGGGAACTTACTCCGGGTGTACACAGAGAACAGTAGCCTTAATTCTCTCTGCAAACAGCCATTGATTGACTGAATGAGGCTGTTAACATTAACTTGCTTGGAGCAAGCTCCGAACTCAGCAAGCCTCACTTCTAAGATGTGTCTAGGATAGCCATTTTTTTAAAACTGCATTTCAACAAAACAATAGCATCAAAAGAAAAAAGGAAAATGTAATTTTCTTAGAATCATAGAATAGTGGAGATGGAGGGGGTCAAGAAGGCCATCTAGTCCACCCCCTGCTATTGCAGGACACCAGTTCACACCATCCCACTCAGAGAGCTGCCCAGTTTCACCTTATTTTATTTATTTTTTAAAAAAATATCTATGCCGTCCTTTAAGACAACATCTCAGGATGGCTTACAACATTAAAACAACAATAAAAGATCAGTAAAAAGAGCAATAAATAAGAATAGTAAGAAAAAATAGTCAGATAGAATTAAATAACAAAAGAAAAAGTGACTGTTAACTTCTAAAACCATTAATTTTAAAACAATGTTCGAATAAAAAGGTTTTCACCTGGAGCTGAAAAAAATATAAGCTCGGCGCCAGGTGAAAATAGACACCTTGAATGTCTCCAGTGTGGGAGAGCCCCCCACCCGTCCAGGCAGCTGGTCCCACTGTCATGGAATCCTAGAATAGCAGAGTTGGAAGGGGCCAGGAAGGCCATCTAGTCCAACCTCATGTAACTGCTGGACACCAAGTCACACCACCCCGCTCAGAGGGCTGCCTGGTTTTTTGAATGTCTCCAGTGCAGGAGAGCCCAGCACCTCTCCAGGCAGCTGGTCCCACTGTCATAGAATCCTAGAATAGCAGAGTTGGAAGGGGCCAGGAAGGCCATCTAGTCCAACCACCTGCTGGTGCAGGACACCAGTTCACACCAGCCCACTCAGAAGGCTGCCCAGTTTCACCCTGAATGTCTCCAGTGTGGGAGAGCCCCCCACCTCTCCAGGCAGCTGGTTCCACTGTCACATTACTCTGACAGTGAGGAGGCTTTTCCTGATGTCCAGCCTGAATCTGGGTTGTTGCAGCTTGACTTGATTATTCTGTGTCCTGCACTCCGGCATCAGCAAGAAGAGATCTTGACCCTCCTCTTTGGGACAGCCTTGGACGTACTTCTAGAGGGATACCATGTCCCCCGCTCTGTCTTCTCTTCTCTAGGCTGAGCATGCCCAATTCCCTCGGTCTCTCCTCATAGGGCAGTGTTTCCAAACTCTGGATCATTTTTGTTGCCCTCCTCTGGACCCTTTCTAATTTTTCTGCATCTTTCTTAAATCTTGGTGCCCAGAACTGGACACAGTATTCCAGGTGAAGTCTGACCAGTGAGGAGTAGAGGGGAACTACTACTTCCCACGATGTGGAAGTAATACTTCTATTAATGTATCCCAAAATCGTCTTTGCCTTTCTTGCAGCTATATCACATTGTTGGCTCAAATTTAACCTGTTGTCCACAATAGCTCCAAGATCTTTTCCCCTTTCAGTTCTGTTAAGCCAACATATTCCCCACTTCGATGCGTTTGGTTTCTTTTTCCTAAATGAAGGACTTCTCATTTAGCTACCTGTGCAACATATACCTGTGTATTCACGTATGTGAAAACAGTGCTATCAATAAAACAATGCATACAATTCAAGATAAGCCAAGTAGCCATATATATATTTTTATTTAAGCGGCATTTTAACTGTTAGTATTACTAGATTTTATCTGGCCAGGGCGGCTTATTTTATATTGTATTTTTGTATTTTTAATTTAATGTTTATATTTATTGTAATTTATATTATAATTACTTTTCATTTATTGTTGTAAGCCGCCCCGAGGCTTCGGCGAATGGGGCGGCATAAAAATGTTTTAATAAATAAATAAATAAAATA